GATATATAGTTATCCAGTGAATGAGAGGCCTCCAACTCACCATATCTTCAGCACCTCTGCTCACATCTTATAGACTCAGGACTATGGCTTCCTTGATTGAGTCTATCCATCTGTAATGCGGTCTTCCTCTTTTCCTGCTGCCTTCTGTCTTATAAAACATTATAAAGGAGTCATGTCTTCTCCTGATATATCCAAATTATGAAATGCTGAATTTAGGCATCTTGGCTTCTAAGGAAGGTTCATGCTTGATTTGCTTTATGGTCCATTTATTTGTCTTTTCCCAGTCCACAGCTTAAATGAATCATTGAATCATAGAGTTGGAAGAGACTCATGGGCCATCCAGTCCAATCCCCTGCCAAGAAGCAGGAAAATTGCATTCAAAGCACCCCTGACAGATGGCCATCCAGTCTCTGTTTAAAAGCCTCCAAAGAAGGAGCCCCCACCTCACTCCGGGACAGAGAGTTCCACTGCTAAACAGCTCTCACAGTGAGGAAGTTCTTCCTAATGTTCAGATGGAATCTCCTTTCTTCTGAGTTGATATTCTTTCTATAAGGTTTTTTGACCATCCAGCTTTTACAACCATACCAAGAAATTGGGAATATGATGGTATGGACAATCCTAACTGTAGTATTCTGTGATACAGCTTTATACATCCGGATCTTGTCTAGTTTCTTCCTAGCTTTCCTTTCTAACCCATAGATTTCTTGACTCTAGTCACCATTCTGATTTATGACTGAATCAAGATGTGAAAAGATCTTGAATGATTTCAGTGTTTTCATCATCTACTTCATCAGCCTAAACCAGCATGGCTAATAGTTAGGAATCCTGGGGATTGTACTCCAAACTACAACAGATTAGGGGAAACTGGTATGGGTATTCCCTATATAGATCAGAATAGGGTTACCAGCCAATTCATCCAGGCTTCAGATTGATGAATGAATTCTTTGAGCTTAAATGTGCATACATTTCCTGGTGGGTAAAAGCTATTGCTGGGAGGAGAAATACATTTGTTTTACTTTACTTTTAGAAGCAACCGTTTGCAGGTGTGATGTTCAAAAAGGCATTCCTACTGTGTTTGAGAGAGAAGCAAAGATAGTTCTTAACATAGTGTCTGTAGTATTTATGAGCATGTATGGACACATGCCTTGCTTGAATGTGTGTGTGTATAATTGTCTCCTGTTTAAATCAAGGACAATGTTGTAATCAGTTTTGAAAGACCTTTCAGATGATTGATCAGTCAGTCCATTAACTCTGGTAGCATAATAAAATTGGATGCAGTATGTTAGATCTAAGAAATGGAGAGGAGATGGACATTTAAAGGTTTTGGCACTTATTGACACGTTGGACATGGCATCAGTTGGATCAGATGCAAAAAGGGGAAGTTGAGCAATGTTGTGCTATGCATAATTTAAAGACTTTGGGAGGAAAGTAAAAACGTCTTTTGGCTCCTATCACAATCAATTAACTGTCAACACTTTGCTAGGGAAGTGGGGTGAGGTCAGTGCTTTGACTCAGAGCCCTGGATAAGTGAAAAGTTGCATGGCAGCTTTGGAGTGGGGAGATGTGGAGGCCTCACTTAGAAACATCTCACAGCTGTATGGGAAGGCCATCACATTCTTTTGAGTTGCTCAACCATTGATGTGTATTTGAAGGATGATCCATTATAGTAGGCCTTTCCAAACAAGGAGACAGAACCTTTGAACTTCCTCTGACAAAGAGGAAGTTCAATTTTACTTGCTGTTGCTATATGCCATTCAATTTGTTTCCGACTTATGGTGACCCTAAGGAGACTTTGTCGCAGGGTTTTCAACGGCTGAGAGTGTGTGATTTGCCTAAGGTCACTCTGTGGATTTCTATGGCTGAGAGGTTAATCAAATCCTGGTCTCCAGAGTCATACACTCAGACCACTTCTACACCATTTTCCTCTCATGTGGCTTAACAAGAAAAAGACTAAAAGTGAAACCTGGGAACCATAATATTCCCTGTGCTGGCCAAAGTGGGGTCCGCTTAGGCTCCTTCTACACTCTCCTTATATCCCGGGATATGATCCCAGGTATCTGCTTTAAACTGGATTATATGAATCTCCACTGCCAAATAATCTGGGATAAACAGATAATTTGAGATCAGATCCTGGGATATAGAGCAGTGTAGAAGGGGCCTTACTGGGCCTAAACGATTCCGGCCCAGTTTACCTGTCCGAACGTATCTTCCTCTACGTACCCCCAAGGACCTTAAGATCATCTAGAGAGGTCCTGCTCTCGGTCCCACCACCATCACAGTTGCGCTTGGTGGGAACGAGAGACAGAGCCTTCTTGGTGGTGGCCCCTTGGCTGTGGAACTCCCTTCCTAATGAGATCAGATCTTCCCCTTCCCTTATGACCTTCCGGAAGAAGCTCAAACCCTGGTTATGGATCAAGCGTTTGCAGAATAGATGGTTTTAATTGACTTTTTAGCCAACGGCAATGGATTGATTTGGAAGATGATGTGAAACGGAAAACTCTTTTAATGTATTTATAACAGAAGTCCTCAAACTTTTTAAACAGAGGACCAGGTCACAGTCCTTTAAACTGTTGGAGGGTCAGATTATAATTTGAAGAAGACATGAATGAATTCCTATGCACACTGCACATATCTTATTTATAGTGGAAAAAAAACACTTAAAACAATACAATAATTAAAATGAAGAACAATTTTAACAGATATAAACTTATTAGTATTTCAATGGTAAGTGTGAACCTGCTTTTGCCTGATGAGATAGGGTTGTTGTAGTTATTTGTGTGCTTTCAAGTCGTTTCAGACTTAGGTTGATCTCGAGCGAGGGCCGAGGAAATGACCTTGGAGGGCCGTATTCGGCTTCCGGGCCTTAGCTTGAGGACCCCTGATCTATAATTGTTTTTAATGTAGATTAATTGTATATTATGTTTGTTTTATTGTTTCGCACCGAATGGTGTCTGTTGGTAGCCGTCCTGAGTTCCTCTTTGGAGGTGAGAAAGACGGGATAGAAATACTCCAAATAAATACATAAATAATTCTTCTCATTCCCTTTCCATGCTTGGTAGAGACCTCGCTGCTTTCATTGTAGTCCCTAAGTAACAAATATTTAGCTGAGTATCAGAAACATGCTCTTTTTATTTAGTCTGAGTCCTATAGGTCTCCAGCATCTCCTAAAATGAGATTTGGAAATCTGCATAGAAATTTAGACTATTGCTGTGTTCCAGAGAAGCTTTGGGTCAGGAAGAGGAGACAACCTCCTCCTCTTCCTCTTTACATTTATTTATATGGTGCCATCATTATACATGGTTTTTTACAAGTCAAAGCACAACAAAGCAGTCCTCTGCCCCCAGGCTTACAATCTACTATATGTATGTATACTTATGTATGAAACTGATGTGTCCTTGAGATTTTCATAGCAATGGCTCCATCAAATAGGCAAGGTCCTTGCCTTCTTTCAAAATCCACAATAGGAGTTTCTGGTGAAAAATGAAGATTGCTCTGGCTGCACGTAATAGCTCTTATCTATACATTAAATGTGTGATTTATTTGAATTGCCACTCCTGTGTTTGCCATGTCTATTGTTGCATTTTGTATGTAGTGTATGTTGCTAAGGAACTTGAGGATTGTGTGCTTTGGGTGTAATAACTGCTTTGATGTATTGGTTAGAGTGTTATACTAGGACTTGGGAGACCCAATTCTCCATTTGGCCATGAAGGCCATTAGATAACCTTGGACTAGCTTCTCTCTCTCTCTTGACCTCCTCGTTGGATTAAAAATGAGGATAATAACCATGTAGTGAGAAGCTGGGCACTTATGATCAAAGTTGGCCATCAACATCCTTTGGTTATGGGGGGAAATATAACTGAGAGGCACATCCAAGGCCAGTTAGAAAGTGAGGAATTTATTAAGTTCTGAATAAGGTTTTGGGAACTGGGAGTGTGCAATGGGTTCAGAGAGTTTACTGTAATTATTATACAGTTAACCCTCTGTGGCTCGAGATTTTGTAAACACAGACTCAACCATCCACAGCTTGAAAATATTCAGGGGGGAAAGAATCCCAAAAAGCAGATCTTAATTTTGTCATGTTATATAACAGACACAATTTCAGTACACAATTATAATATAAGGGGACTTGAGTAGCCACAGATTTTGGTGTCCATGGAAGGGTCTCAGAACCCAACCCCTTTTGATACCAAAGGCCCACTGCATAAGAAACCTTCACTTGTTTTTTTTCCCCATGACTACGTCTTATTGCTTCTGCTTAAGGAGTGAGTGGGAGCAGCCCAAGGGTTTGAACAGTGGGGGCAATCTGGAGAGGGGATCATTCACAAGATCCTTTGAATCCTGCTTTGAGCTTCCTGGGCGTGTATGCACCATCTGTGGGCACATCCTCATTAGTTCCTTCCCACCATGTTGAATCCAACTACTATGTCTTGGACAGAATGGTCTCCATAAGCAGCAGCCGTTCTTATCTAGTCTGGGGCTTTATAACTGCTGGGAAAATGGGAAAGAGACACAGTCATGAAGGAGGAGCTGTACTGTGAAGTAAGGTCTTGCCCATATTTGTATCTCTGATGTGTATGGTCTAGAATAATATATATATCTATATAAATAAAAATGTAATGTTCGTTTGTGGGATTAACATCACTCAAAAACCACTGGACGAATTGACACCAAATTTGGACACAATATACCTTTCAGGCCAACAAGTGAACATCACTCAAAAAAATGATTTTGTCATTTGGGAGTTGTAGTTGCTGGGATGTATAGTTCACCTATAATCAAAGAGCATTCTGAACTCCACCAATGATGGACTTGAACCAAACATAACCAAAGCCCTCTTTTACTTTTCCAAATCACCAGATTGGGCCACAGCAGCGCATGGCAAGGAATGGCTAGGATATGTGTATGTGTGTATATATATGTGTGTGTGTTTGTGTGTGTGTGTTGCAAGCTTGTATTATAACTGCAACATAATTATTGCTTTTCCTTTCCTTTTTCGATAGGGTGTTGGTATGTCTGTTCATGGGCATTTCAGAATTGCTACAGAGAAGACGCTTTTTGCAATGCCAGAGACTGCAATAGGTAAGGAATGAACATTAACTTTCGTATTGCAGTATACAGTAAGAACACCATATCTACTGCACTGTGAACAAAGGGTTAAAGTCCCTCTTTATCACTTTCCCCCTACACACTACAACTGTGATCTGGCTTAGCCTCCTCTCCACCATACCCATTTTCTTTGTAATAGGCAGTAGGGTGGATCCTGATTTAAAGTGGACCCACTGAAATCAATGGAGCTCAAGACTAATTTAAGCCTGATTGATTTCAGTGAGTTTGTTTTATGGATGGCAGAGTCATGATCCAATCCATTGGGGGTATTCTAGTTAGACTCCAAGAACTCTCATAGATTAATCACTTGAAAATTCATTCATTTTTAATATGGATGCTCTGCCTGCCAAATATTCTTCATGGTTCTTAGTTTCTGAGGGTTATCTTCCAAACACATAAAACACCACCCACTTGCCCCACTATCAATTGCAACCATAATGTGGCAGATGTAACTGAGCACAGCTCAGTGATTGTGAAATTTGAGGCAAGTGTCTTTCAGTTTATCTGCAGCAAACTGCATTTTTCTCACTTCTATTGATACTTGTTCATCTCTGAAAGTGCACACTCGCCTTTTCAGATAATCTTTGCTCTCTCTCTGCAGAGTCTAACATGACAATTGAAGTCAGTAGCAAGGTAGCGTCAAAGGTCACAAGCAAAATTAATCAGCATTCGTATTGTAGCATGTCTTGGAGGAAGATGAGAAAAGCCAACAGAGGTTGTAATATCAGGCTAAATTGACACCTAGAAGATCTTAGAGATCTACAGAAAGGGGAGAAGACTGTAAATTTCAATTCGAGGAATTGTTGACTTGCTTCATATCTGTCTTGTCTTTAATTGCAGGCCTTTTCCCTGATGTGGGTGGAGGCTACTTCCTGCCAAGACTTTCAGGGAAGCTGGGCTTTTATCTTGCCTTGACTGGATTTAGGTTGAAAGGAAGGGATGTACAGAAAGCAGGGATTGCAACTCACTTCATCGAAGCAGAGAAGGTAAATCCCTCAAAGTGGTCATTGGGCATGCTGTATCCTCGGTCAATGGAAGAGCTTAAGCATGGCATTTTTGGAATCCAGGCCTTTTCAACAATCCACTTCCACTTTCTGGAGGGGAGAATGAGTATTCCTTTCCCTGCTCATCCCAAGATGGTTGTGGTTTTAAAAGTAAATGTCCAAGAGGCTGCCCAGTCATTAAATTAAGCATATAAAGACTAAGGCTGTGAAATGTATGGGCTGCCAAATGGTGCTGAACTCTTAATTCATATCAATCCCCACCAATTTGGCCTGTTGTGAGATGATAAGAGTTGTCATTCATGACATCTGGTGGGTCTCCATTCTCACATTCTTAAGATTATTGATCTCAATTACTGGGATCTTGTATCTGCTGTCCCTCAGTGAAATTTGGTTCATGAAAAATTCAGTTCTGGAGGGCTTAAGGACCTTATGGTACAAAGAAAGAGGGATTAAGAATCAGAGAAAATTTGGGGAAATGAATTTCTCTGATTTGTTGATGAAACTCTCCACTTGTGAAAGCATAGTTAGGCTCCAAGGCAGTAGCCTTTAGCATATTTTATTATATATTCTCTGATATCCTTTTCTTTTCATCCTACAAACAAAGAGATTCATTCTGACTATCTTTGAAATGTTAGGAGAAGCAGGGGACTATTTTTGGTATGTAGCATATGTATTTCTCTTTATATATTGCAATCCCGTCCTTCATGTTGAAAGTTTCTACATTAGTTCTTCTAGAGCAGTGGTTCTCAACTTGTGGGTCCCCAGATGTTTTGGCCTACAACTCCCAGAAATCCTAGCCAGTTTACCAGCCGTTAGCATATATGGAAGTTGAAGGCCAAAACATCTGGGGACCCACAGGTTGAGAACAACTGCTCTATAATAAAATCTCAGCATTAATTGGGGGCCCTTCCAGGCAGGCCCTATATCCTATGATCTGATCCCAGGTTTTCTGCATTAAACTGGATTGTATGAGTCTGAACTGCCAGATAATCTGAGATAAACGGAAAACCTGGGATCAGATCCTGGGATATAGGACCTGTCTGGAAGGGCCCACAGAGAGAGGATAGAAGGCCTAAGAAGAGCTTATCAGATTTCTGGTTTTCTACTGCTGCTGCCGCCGCCGCCTCCTCCTCCTCCTCCTCCTCCTCCTCCTCCTCCTCCTCCTCCTCCTCTTCTTCTTCCCAACTTTATTTACACCCTGCCTTTCTCCCCATGAGGATTCAAGGCAGCTACACAATATAATGACAATTTGTAACAAACAAATACAAAAAAGAAAAAAAACCAATAAAATATTGGTGGTGGATATAAAATTAAAATAAAATTAAAATTACTTTACAAAACTCAGAATGGACTTCATTTGTTTTTAATTTTTAACTTGCAGGTGGCTGCCTTAGAAAAAGATCTGACAGAATTAAAATCCCCCTCAAAGGAAAACATTGGCGAGATCTTGGATTTGTATCATAAGAAGGTGTGTGGATATCTTAACTAGAAGAGCTCTCACTCTTCATTGTTTTTTTTTTTTTTTACATGAGTCTCAACTAGGACAGACCTGTTTTACATGCAGTAGGAATAGGCCACTAATATTTCTTGGATTTTGTACATAGTAAGAAATAGAATTGGATTTATGTGCCTTCCCTTTCTCTTTCTCTCTGACTTTCTTTTTCTTTTTGTCTTGGTGTTGCGTGTAATCTGTGTGTGTGAGCTCTAGCTTTATTATGGATGGATGTAATAATTGCAGATATAAATCAGATCTAATGTTCAAATCTAATAGAAAAATCTATATGAAGCATTTCTTTCTGTCAGACATATTGATTATTGAGTTCATATTAAAACAGATCTAATTCCAGGCTATGGCAGCATCGATTTAAAAAGCCTACCTTGACACATACGCATGTTAACATTATGAACTTATTTTCCATTTTACTTCCTTTTCCACTCCCTTTTCCTAGATTATATATCAGAATAAAACCAGTTTTCCTGTTTTTATAGAAATCTAAGAGCTTTTCCACCGTGGGTGCCACACAATAAACAACTAAGCAAAATTTTAAATACTTATGCAGATATATAATATTTTAATGTTGTAAGAAGGCTTTTCAGATAATTCTAAATGTTTTGGTGTAGATTCAGATGCTTTATTTAAATGATAGGCTATGTTTGCAACACTACATGTCCCTCTGGGTTTTAGGAGCATGGCTAGGAGCAAGGTTGAGATATTTAAAGCTGGAGTTAGTTAAAGCTTGAACTAGTTTCCACTTGATTAGAGAGCAGTATTAAGTACCATCCAAGGAACATACAGAAATTAGAATAAGCAAGGCTGTGGTCCTAGAAACACACACCTGGAAATATGTCCCATTGACATTGGAGCTTACATCTAAGTACCGTATTTTCCAGCGTACTAGACGACTTTTAAAGCCTGGAAAATCTTGTGAAAAGTCGGGGGTTGTCTACTATGCTGAGTATAAATTGAAATAATAATAATTTTTTAAAAAGAATAAAATATCCCTTAAAATCTCCACAGAGACCGGCTGGGGGTGATGATCTGCTGGGTCTTCCCTGCGGGCCCCGCTGCTCTCACCGCTCTCCTTTCAAGGACCTGCCCTTGTCGTTCACCTCCTCCGAAAGCTACTGGGCCTGCCTAGACCCAAGGAAGTGCCTGCGGACGATGACTTCCAGCAGCCCTGGGCAGCAGCGTGCCTTGGATATGTTCGTTGAGACATCCTGGGAGCTGTAGTTCCCTGACTCCTACTGCTCCCAGAATTCCTCAGTGAGCACATCCAAGGCATGCCACCATCCAAGGCTGCTGGGAGTTGTCATTCGAGGTGCAATGAAGCACCTCTGGATGACTCCCAGTAGCCCGGGTCGGCGGTGTGCCATGGATGTGCTTGCTGAGGCATTCTGAAAGCAGTAGTTCCCTGACTCCTATGGCTCCTAGAATGCCACAGCAAGCACATCCAAGGCATGCCGCCGCCCGGGGCTGCTGGGGGTCGTCATCTGGAAGCACTTCCTTGGGCCTAGGCAAGCTCAGTGGCCTTTGGAGGAGGTGAGCGGCGAGGGTGGAGGAGGTCCTTGAAAGGAGAGCGGCGGGGAATGCGGGGGCATAGTGTTGGAAGAGGGGTAGTCTTAAATGGTGAATATATCCCTAAAACTTGGGGGTTGTCTTCTACCCCCAGTCGCCTTGTATGCCAGAAAATATGGTGGTAGGATTTTGTGTAGTGTCAGGTTTTGCTGTGAAGTGCTCTCTTCTTTTTAACATTTTGAGTTTCACAGAATGCTCCTTGAAGTGGAAAGGCATAAGACACAATTCCAGTTTTGTGTTGCTTGTAGCCTTGCTATCCGACCTGCAGAGATGCCCGTCTTTCTTACCCTTTGTCCCAAATATGGTCAAACCCTTTCAATAGGTTTGTGGATCAGCCATCAAGGAAAATATTGATGTAAGGGATGTACTGCCATGGCAGTCAATTTTGGGGCAAAGGTTGATGAGGAGGGGAGAATACAGGAACATACAAGCTGTGAGCGAATGGAATGGAAGCTAACTCCTGGAATACAAATGACAGGCATTCGATTCTGATTTGCAGCTGATGCTGTTGTAACTGAAACACATGCTTGTAGCTTAACCTTGGCCCCTGCCGTGGCAAAATATTCCTGGCATCTGTCATGAGCTTCCATTCAGACGCTTCACTTCACGCAGAGCCTCATGGCAGGCAGCAAAGAATCAATCGCAGTCACCAAACTGACATTCCTTTGAATCCGATTGTGTGTAAATATAGTTTCCAGCAGCATTGTTCATTAATGCAGACAGCTAGGAAGGTCCATTCATAGGGTGGACGGATGCAAAAGGAAGACTGGCTGCTGAGCCTTTTATAGTTGGAAGGAATTTCAACAGGTGCCATTTTTATCACAAACAGGTGCCAGTTTTTTTTTTGTCTGCTTTTTCATCTCGTATGTAATAAGCTGGTCTTGCTGAAATTCCTTCTTTTGCAGAACTTTGTAAGGGTCAGGAGCACGTCTATCATTATTTTTCTTCTATTTTGGAGCTCTGAAAAGGTGAACATTATTTCATTTCTCAGTACTCTTCTCACTGACATTCTTGTCCTGCCCTTGAGGTATGAGGCTTTTCCTTAATCTCCATGTATATATTGGATTGCTTTTTCCATAAATTCACATTTTTCCATTGGCAAAGCAACTTTTTCAAATTCACATACTATCAGTCATCACTTACAAATGTACATGTGTGCATTTTTTCACTACAATGGACTGAAAGCATTTAGAATTTTTTTGAGGCAAATGGTAAATCCGGTTGTTAGTCCTAACAAAAATAGCTCCATTGAAGCAATGGGATTTGCTTGTGTGCTGACTCATTATTTAATAGTTGATTCAATAAGTCTACTCTACGTGGGATTAGCCAACAGGATCTGAATTAATATGTGCTTTGTCCTGTTATAGTATTGAGAGGTGCAAAATGCACATCTTTTGTATGGAAATGGGAACTTAACAAATGTGCTTCCCATTCTTCCCAAGTGTTGTAGTTCAGCCAATTATTGTGCCTGATGTCACTGGGGATGATAGTTTTGCTGGTCTTGAGATTACAAGTCTGGTCTTGCTGAAAGGCCTGAAGTTTCAAGTCTTGAAAATGAATGTTGTGTTTCTCCTGTAGAGTGTGAAGGCTATAAACTTAGGGCAAGTTTCCAAGTTCACCAAAGGTCATTGCGCTTCTTAGAAAAGAGGCCCTTATCTGGTTGTAAAGGTAAGCAAAATAATTTCTTGATGGTTTATGAGACAGGAAAAGCTTTAGATGAGATGGTGAAAAGATTTTAGATTAGTCTGGGCAACACTGGAGTTTAAAGAGCATCTTACATCAAGGGATTTTCTAGTTTCATGTTCCAAGTTTGCCAGGTTCCCGTTTCGAAATCTAAAGGATTATTCTGGAGTTCTTTGTATTGGATTTTCATGCTGTCTTGTTTACCTGGATTTTGCATCCTTGGATTTTGTGTTTTTACCTTTGTACCTTGAACTTAATGGACTATTTCATAACTTTGGACTATACTGTTTTTACCATTTTTACTGCTTTGCTTATATATATTCTTCAGTAAACTGCTTGCTGGTCTTATTGTACTGGTGTGGTGATTAAGTATAGAGATTTTCCTACTCTGGGATACAACACCAAGAGACTGATTTGGGATCACCATTGCTTAACTTCACAAATTTGGCATCATACCAATCCTAGCTTTCCCCATTTATTCCTTTTTTAGTCCATCTGTGGTTTTGTGTATTGGTAAATGTAGCATAAAAAGGTAAAGCTTTCCCTTGACATTAAGTCTAGTCATATCCGACTCTGGGGGGTGGTACTCATCTCCATTTCTAAGCCGAAGAGCCAGTGTTGTCCGTAGACACCTCCTAGGTCATGTGGCCAGCATGACTGTATGGAGCATCGTTATCTTCCCCAAAATGATTATGCATATTTACATTTTCCAAAACCCATTGCATCAGCTTGTGTCTCCTCTGTATATTTGGGGGGGGGGGCTTCCAAGAGGGCTGTGGAGTACGCACAATTTGCTTCAACAGGACATACAGGATGTGTAAAGTCCATTGTGTAAGGGGACACCCAATGTTGGCTGTCACCCCATATTTCAAGGAAATCCTCAAACTATAACATTCTAGGAGTATGAGGATGCAGCCTTGTTGAAGGCATAAACAGGTTGGGGTTGAGCAGAAATTTGGATAGAAGATCATTAGGCATCCCTTGTAGAATTAACCACTAAGAAACCTGTTGAGAATTGAGAACTATAACAAAATACAGGAGACTCTTGCTTATCCAACCTTTGCTCAT